TGATGAACCAATCAGCATTGATGTTACTAATGGATTACCCATAGTTCCGTGTAAAACACACCCAAATCTCGCCGTAACAGACCGTTTCATTGGCTAATAGCTCACAACATTCAGAACACGTCAATGATAACAACTCTTCCAGATCCTAGTGCAGTAAAGACGAAATTTCGAACTATAAAAAACGAAACGAAATAGGATCTGTGTTTTAACCAGATTGAGTTTATCTATACAGTTGACGTTTTGATTTTGGTTTCTTAATTAAATGGGGGGGGGGGGGGGCGAATGGTCTGTCATTGAGTCAACTGGCGAGGTTTCGATTCCCGGTTGTACGTGGGAAATCTGAATTTTTTCAGACAAATGGAAACGACGAACAAAGGCTTTAACTTTACCCCCCCCCCCCCACCAACCGACCATCACCAACAAACAATTATTATTTTTGTTTTGACCTGATCAGAAAACAGCAAATGACGCACATGGGCTGTAACTTTAACACAATATGCAAATAGTTGATCATACAATTATAACATAACATCTAGGGGGTGATCATTTATCGATGAACAATGTAATATAATCAGTCTAAAATCATCAAAAAAAACAAAAACAAAAAAAGAAATGAGTTTTTACACAAAATGCAAATGACGCACATGGGCTTTAGCTTTACACCCCCCCCCCCCCGACCCCACATACACACACACACACACACTCCCCTAAAAAATGTTTTTGACATGTTCAGAAAACTGCAAATGACACATAGGTGCGTCAGTGGATTAAATAATTTATACATAAACTATATTTATAGATATCAGAGATAATATCTACATGGTGCAATAATATGCTGAGTTAGATTCTTCACTACCAAATGGTGTTTTTTAACGGTAATAAAACCCACCAAGGCGTTGTGATGTCTAGGCTTTATGACAGTAATTCATATGTAATGTTAGACTATGTTGTTAATACCCCTGTTAAATTAGAACAACTTAACCGACATAATTTTTTTTTCTTTTATTTGGATTTTACCGGTTTCAAAAGGATTGAAATAAAATGGTGGGGAAATTTTACCCTTACGCATATTACCGGTTTTAGAATATCGTGAAATAAAATGGGGTTTAATGTCCTACTTTTTTGCACCAACCGGGATGATAAAACAGCCATTTGTACGCCATGCTGTATACTTTACGGTTAATTTTGCCATGGCAGCGGACAGGAACTTTTATTGGACTTGGACACCTTCCTTTTCTGCTCAAATTAAAACGCCATGCGCCGTACAATGTGCTGTACGGAAATTTTTGCAATGACACTGAGTCAATTAGTGGCGTGGTATAGATTCCCCGCTTGCACTAGACGAGGAGTAGGGTCGTCTGTCCAACCTCGTGGGTTTTCTCCCGGTCATCCGGCTTCCTCACAAGCGAATTCCTCTCTCTCTCGTGTGTGAGTGGGGGGGGGGGGGTGTGTGAAAGAGCGAGAGAGAGCTGAGAGAGAGAGAATCGCCCCCCCCCCCTCCAAACTCCCAAACATCTTTGGCGATGTCGAGTAACTTAGAACATTTTTGGACTAATGATGTGAGGACGCATGGGGCGATCATGACTCGCGTACCTATTGGCCCTTGTCTTGGGCCCTTTCCGTGAAATCACGCGAGTGGGGACTTTTCCTTTCCATTGGATCCTAGAACCTTGCTTCAGGAGGGTCCATGTAGCAAAATTAACTTCGAAGTCGGCGTTTTCTTTCCGTTCCAGTTTTGGACATTTTATTTTTTCCCGCTATCCGCTACAGATAGTAAGTATATTAAAGATGCATTATGGGAGATTAGATCAAGACCTGACAGTTCTCGCTATAATAGTTAAAAACTAGATAATGTAATGGGAATATGCTGAAAATTTCAGTCAAATTGATCCACTGTGAACCAAGAATTTAGCATCGAATTTTAGGCATAGCCTCGATCATCATTACTAAGTCGATGCAATAAAAAAACCTAGTCTCGATTATCCATTTTTTAATTTAATCATCAATGAGATTTGAGCAGCAGATCGGATTCCAATCCAGTAAATATTGCAGGCTAGCGATGACATCGGAAGTTGATTATGGTCTGGATAAGTTAATTAATAATTTAGATAACATTTCAGGCCTAACGAAAGGCATATAACGTTGTGACAACGCCGTGACAACAACCTGTATATGACGTTTTGATAACGTTGTTACAACGTCACGACCAATATTGACCTTGTGGCGGGGATCACGTGGCTAAGTGGGTAAGACGCTGGCTCGCTAGCCTGGAGGTCGGGTGTTCGATCCCTGCATTGGCCGAGAAAGTTTATCCAGATTTTCCGGCGTGGTTTCCCCTTGTCAGTGATGCAGGACGGAGGGCCTGACACGGACAGCTGTCTAGTCGTTCGGATGGGACGAAAAACCGAGGTCCCGTGTACATATTGGCGTGCACGTAAAAGATCCCTTGGCAGTTGGAATTCGATATAAGAGTAGGCCGTAGCGCCGCTGCCCGGGCAAAATTTCCCTCATAGCACACTGTATGCCCGTCTTCATTAGCCCAGTTTAGGAGGAGGACGTTAAACCCCATTTCATTTCATTTCATGACGTTGTGGCAATGTTGTAACAACGTTGCATGCCTGCTGGGATGCAATAGGCAGATTTAGCTCTTGCATAGTGTTTAAGTATTAATTTCTGATTTGTATATCAATTTGGCAACGCATCAATATTTATCACCATGCCCATATGTCTTTTAACATTTACATAAGGGCGAGTCCGGTCAATGTAGCTTTATAGTGATAAATAATTATTCATCCAGTGCAGAAAGGTTGAATCCTATTATTACCATGCGTCACACACTAAAACCATAATGATTCATTAATTCATCCATCAGTGGAAGGAGAAAACAAAGAACGTTTATTTTCATAAGTTTCTGGTTTTTGTAACTCTACTTCTGTCATAAGCTGCCTATTGCGTGAACGTGAAATAATTTTAAAATGACATTTAAGATTGCACAGAATGACATGCATCAGCAACTAAGTAATTTATTCCACTTAAATAATGACGATAGCCTTTTCCATGCGCGACCTTGAACCACGAGCACCTGCCGAAGTGGGACAAGAGCCCGGGAAATAAATAAACCCAGAAACCAACCAATGGCTGCAGAGTTATAGGAGACCAGTTGAGTAATATTATGGTTATTACTGTAATTTGAGGAGCTTGTTTACCGCTACATTTGATATTTAGGCTGTTCAAATGTATATAGGCTTAATATTTTATCCCCTTATTTGGACTAAAAGTCGGCAAATGACTTTACAATAGAATATCGATATACGCAATCAGATTGAGCAATTTTTTCATAAAATAATTTATGTCCTCGAAATCTGTTAACACAGTTGACATTTAAGGGTCGCATTTAATATTTTCTTGGGGACACCTGTCTTTGTTTTTAAAAAAATAATCAAAATAAATCCGTTTAATTGTGGATTAATTACCTCTCTCGTGTAACATAATATTACAGAAATCAATCCTTTAAACAGATTTAAACAAATTTTAGAGAGAGGGGTATGCGGGAGGGGGGGGGGGGATTTTGAGCCCCGTGCAACTGAACTGAATCATGCACCGCCTTAAATGCAGTCCTGCGCATATGTCACGAATGCGAAATAACCTTGTTTAACGACCACTTCCTCAGTGAAATAAATGTATTGAATTCGAGACGTGTTTTTTCAAACATATGTGACATGTAGGCTATTTAAAAACCTGGAAAACAATTGGGTTAACCCCTTTAAGAGACAAGAGTGCGTTTGCACATGGTTCGCTTTCGAGATATTTCAGCCTGATCCCCCCCCCCCCCCCTTAGTGCAGAACGTAAGGCCGGGCAAGGAAGGTGTCTAGTCTTTCGAATGAGACGCGAAATCGAGATCCCGTGTACACGTTGGCTTTCATGTAAAAAATAGCGGCACAGCCCACACAGCACACACAGGGGGTGGGGCGTGGGGTGGTTGATGGGTGGCGGAATGGATAACGTGTGCGCGTTAGATCACCAGGTCTATCATTGAGTCAAGTGGCGCGGTTTCGATTCCCCGCTTATACCTCGTTGGTTTTCCCCAGGTCCTCCGGTTTCCTCCAACTGCTAAAGACCCCAGCGCGCGAAGCGAATGCTTGAAATAAAATTGAACCATGTGTTAGTCCCGAATGACCTAGTTTGTGGACGTTAAACCCATGTCTCTCATAGTAAACTGCATGAAGTATGCCCAGTTGGTGGAGAACGGTAGGGGTAGATCTATTTATTAAGGCCAACTCAGTTTTCGTCAAGGTCGCTGAGATGTAAATAAGGTTGGGTCACGTGAAAACATTCAATCCTAAATATATTTACGTTGTATCGCATGTTCCCGAAGCAACGATCGCCAGTTTTACAACGTCCAGAGTTAAAGTGAGATCTCGCTCTATGGGCCAATTTTCATTCTGTTTGGTCGTGCCAAAATGCTAAGAGAGAGAGAGAGAGAGAGAGAGAGAGAGGGGAGAGAGAGAGAGAGAGAGAGAGGGGTTTAACGTACACTAGACACAAACTAGGTCATTTCGGGACAAACATATGGTTTAATTTTATGAGTTCAATAATTCGCTTGCGTGTAGGGGTCTTTAGCAGTGGAAGGAAACCGGAGAAAACCCACCAGATTGGACAGGCGACCCTACACGCAACCATTCGGCTATCAACCCCTCCCCGCACACACAAAAGATGTTAAGATTTTCGATGATCATATTCCATGTCCAGAACAAACACTAAACCGCGTATTCCTCGATGGCATAACAACCATGAAATAACGGCCTCCATGTAAGTGCCTTTAATTCAATTTTCTGCTGTTTTCTTGACGGGTACCAATAAGCAATTGCCTCAAGTGATTTGGCAAAACATTCACAGTCGAATTGTATGGGGGCAAGGGTCAGAGTAATTTGCTTTGCCTGCAGGCCTCAAATGTTCTTAAAATCCATTTAAATAAAAAACAAAGTTACAAACCAGTTAATTTATATTTTCTAATGGTTTTTTTATTATCTTTTTCATTTTTATTAGTTTTAAATTTAACAAGTTTCAACTCATTCAAACTTTCATACTTTCTGTACAAAAACAACATAACTTATATATATACAAATAATATCTTCTTTAACACAACCCTAGTCTCTATGGTAGTCATGCTGATATACCTTCAGATTTGGTTGATATTTAATTATTCAACACAGTTTTCAATAAAGCTTTTTTGGCCGAAAACATTTCCTTATTTGGTCATATACCAAACAATCCTCAGGTTGTTTTTCTTAACACCGCCATACAGATTTGGTTAATATTTAATTATCCAATTCAGTTTTAAATAAAAAATAAAATAAAGCTTTTATGACGAAAACAATTCCTTATATGGTCACAGACAAAAAAATCCCGTTTGTTCTTCTTTATACATTCTTAATATCAATTTCCTTTTCATTTAAAACAAGAGTTATTGTTCTTGGCACAACTTCTGCATAGAAGGAACAAATAAAAGTTTTGAAATCCTGAATCGGAAAAATTTGTCAATTTAAAAGTTTTGAAATTAAAAATCACAAAAAGTTTTGAAATTTTAAACCAAAGTTCACAAGTCTTTCTCAAATCGCAGTTGCTTAAGTTTTGAAATTAAGAATCCCAAGAAGTTTTGAAATTCTAAACCAAAGTTCATGTGAGTCTTTCTCAAATCGCAGTTGGCTAATCGCGTTTCTGCACAAAAGTACATCCCAAATATTTTCATTCAAACTCGCTTGAGTATCCTCAACATGGAGTCCTTTGAAAAGGAAATTGATACATAATTTATAATTCTATAACCCCTGAGTTCTTTCAAGAAAAAAATTGACACATAATTTATAATTCTATAAAAAGATCTGCATCCTTGTCTAGGGACTACCACAAGACAAATATATTATATGAATAAATTCAATTTTTGAAACAAATGTGTTAAATGATTTTTTTCAAATGGTGGATGAAAATGAATCATGAAATGCTATATATACAATATGAAATGATATAAATATTAAGATTTTTTTTTCAAAACATCACAGACAAAAAAAAAAATTCAACCGGAATTTGTCAAAGCTGATTAATTTATACTGATGGTATGAAAGCACTAAAGTATCCATTTTAAATATTCGTTTGTATTAGCACTTTTGCAGTATCGGTTCCTTAATTTGGAACATCTCAAATTAATATAGGTCTCTCGCTCTCATAATATCTTGATTAATAATACAGAAATGCCCTTTACTAATGAATATTCCCTTTAGGTTTTTTTTTTGGTTTTTTCGCTATTGTACTGTGTTAGTGACAAAAAAAAAAAAAAAATATGACCAAAACACAATAAATGCCCATTTTTTTTTGTAAAATAGACTTGAAACTGAAGCAATGTCTCCTCTAATTCTTGCCCTTATTTTCATCTCAATAATATATATAAATTTAACATCTAAATTTATAAAGAGCTTAATGTCACTTCTTTCTTTAAACTACGGGTCCTGGTAATCAAGGATGGCCGTCCGTAACCATGGTCACACAATTATCACCAGACCTCTGTCCTCTTCCTCCCCTGATTGGTTCGAAGACGAAATATTTTATTTCCCGCAAATATCTTTGTTGCGATTGTCCACATTGACAGGAAATTGCATCACAGTTTGTTTGTTTGTTATCACTCGGGAGTTACTAATGAGATTCGGTCGTTTTCAGTTTTAACGTTAACATTTTTTTTGATATGTCTATCTATATTAAAGTCAACAGGTGTTGTTATCGAGGGTCGTACTGTTACTGCCGAAACGGAAGATTGGTTGCCCGGTGATACGACATTCGTGAAGATCTTCATACACTTGACTAGCATCTTCGACTGGGAACACTGCGTAACTGGGAGGTGTTAACTGAAAAATAGACAAAAACATATCATCAATATTGGTTCAAATTTAACTTCATCTCGAATAAGAAATTATTACCAGTTTCCGACCCATACCCTTCAACAGTATAGAGTCAGGTTTGATTACAGGAAGTTGACAATATCATCAAGTTTTCACACGGATTAATTATGCCATATAATATAGACCAAAGGCTGGAGGATTTCCGCATGTTGAAATTATAATTTAAATACTTCATCTTGGATTCAAGTTGGATGAACGGACATTGAAATCATGGCTCAAATCTCATTAAAATGCAGATCTATATTTCATTTCGTTTTATTATACTTTCGATAATCTACACTACATATGACATCAGATATTGATTAATCAATCAGCGATGACGTTTCTAGTGGTTTACCCACAGTTCAGTGCACCTCATGCCAAAAAATCTCTGTAACAGACCGTTTCATTGGCTAAGCCCTCACTTCACCCAGAATGCTGGTAATATAACAACTCTTCCAGATCCTAGTGTAGTAAAGACAAGTAAAACGAAATTTTGAACTATAAAAACGAAACGAAACGAAACGAAACGAAATAGGATCTAGGTTTTAATCAGATTGAATTATGGATGTACCAAATTTCTGTTTTAAAACGCCATCGAGGTAACCTACCTTTTTCTCTTGGACTGCATGTACAAGGTCGTACAATTGGTTCAGATTTCCTTTAGGAATACCCACAATGCTCTGTTGTTTGGCTGACAAGGCGTTTAAGCTGATGGATACTTGAGCCATGTTGTTTCCACCCACGAGAATAAGTCCTTCCTGCAAAATAACACCCCTCTGTTTGAAACATTTATTCTGCCTCTATATAATCTAAGAGTCTTTGAAATTAAACTTTAATTCATATTCTTTTTAACAATTTTGATTTTTGAAATTAACCTTTCAATTATCTTTAGTTTATATTTTTTTTTACCAATTTTGATTTGTTTTAATTACAAATTAAGATTACAAAACTTAATATTTTTTTTTCTAACAAAAAAAATTCTATAGTACTCACTCTGTTTAAAACTTTAAGAGCTCTCTGCATAGTTCTGGGTGAACTGACAAAATCGATGATGACGTCAACTCCTCCTCGGCAAGCATCGAGTGTTCGTTCAACGATATACTGCTCATGATCCTCTTCGTTCCAGTGAATAATGTCGTAGCACCCATGATCCTGAGCGACCAATAATTTATCGATACTATTGTCGGCCATAAATAGTCTGACATGGTTACCAGTAGCGTTTTCTATGAGGTAACGAGCCAATTGAATACACCATAACCCTAGGCCACCAGCTCCCACAATTAATACGTTTACACAAGCTGAAAAATAAATAATATTAATGTTCAATTTTTTTCAAACTTACAGAAACAGTCACTATGGCTAATTGTTTAATAATCATTCAAACATTTTCACAGAAAACTTCACAAATTACAGAACTTTTTGAGATATTTTTTTTTTGTTAGACAAAAGAAACCATCACTGGATCCAATAACACAAGAATTTCTGTATAAATTGAGATGAATTTAGATTTTTTAAAATATTAATTTTTAACACTTACGTTTAAACTGCTGGATTTTTTCGACATGAGGTTTAGCTTTTAAAACAGCAGAATAAGCAGTAAGTGCTGAGCCAGGTAACATGGCGGCAACTTCTAGAGACATTTCTTTAGGTATCTGTATAACATTTCGTGTGTCGTCGATGGCAATATATTCTACGTATCCCTGGCTGCCGATATCCTCGTCGGGGAATATGATGACTTTATCGCCAGGTGTAAAGTTACAGTTGGGAACGGTGTTAGAAATGTCGTGAACATATCCAGCAATTTCCGAACCTGAAAAAATAGAAATTTAACAAAATTTAAAATCAGAACATTTAGTGTACAAGATTTATAAATTGGACTACACTCACCATATGGTTTTCATGGATTATTTTTGGGGTTTTCATGGATTATATTTTGTGGTTTCCATGGATTCATGGGATATTATTTGTGGTTTTAATGAATTATATTGTTTATGTCTGTAGCATCAAAATATGATTTTACTAACCTGGAAACTGTGGTCTGAATCCTCTTCTCTTCTGACCCTCTGAATAAGAAGCCCCTGTATATGCGACCTGGAAAAAATATTAGAATATTTCTATAATACCAGGGTTTTATTCTTATTATTTTTAAAGATTTACTCGATTCATTTAAACTGTCATCTGAAGATTATATATATATATATATATATATATCGTTCTCAATATTTGTTAAATATATTTACCTTGACGACAAGACCGTCTTTTGGTGTTTCTGGCATGGCAAGCGATGAGCTGACACCATCAAATGGCATCGCTAGACTGTCACTACCTCCTCTTTGCATGACTTGATTCTGGTATAGTTCGTTGTCCAACATCTTTGTTTATTTTCCTGAAAAATTAAATATTTTTCTTTAAAATAAAACCAACAAAAATTTCCTTGAAAATTTAAATGATTAAAAACAGCCCCCCCCCCTCCCCGGCCTCTGTTTTTGGATCATCAATTAACGGTAGTCAAGTTCCTGACAAAATTATGAGCGAATTGAAAAGTATCCATTGTCGATACTCGATGTCAAGTTTCAAATCCATAAAGATACTAATTCCAACTACACTCTTCACCAAAGCCGAAATTTCCACAAAATTAAGTCAGTTTTTTTGTTGTGGTGGAGGACCAAGTCCAGACATCCATGCCATCTCACTTACGTAATGAATAAGCTGCCTGCAAGATTAAGTTGCTATCACGGCGGATGACTCCTGAGTGAATACAACATCCTTTGCCCCACAAATAAGTTGAGCGACTTCGTTGATTGATATTTCGGTTAATGTATGCAAACAACCTGTGAAGGTCATATTCATCCAATCAGATTGCGCAATTAAGCCCCGCCTATTATTCTGCACCGCAACCAAAACATGTCATTCTCTCCAACTTAAATAAATTGTGGCATTAGGAATTTGATATGCAAGAATAAAATAATTCGGTAGGTTTTCGACCTAGATCTATCTGCGAACAGCACGCAGCGTAAACACCGTATTATTCAAATACAATGTATGTTTTATTATGCTTTATTATATGAAATTGACATATATAATTCTAGAAAATAAAGATTTCAATTATGCCTATTAGATCAAATTAATTCAATTTCAATTATAATCCGATGGATGCAATCTAGAAATTAAAATTGAATTTTATAAAAAAAAACAAAAAAACCCCCGAAAAAACCCAAAAAAAACACCAACAAAAAAAACAAAACAAATCTTCATCAATGATTAAAATTCTCGACAATCTCGCATGGATAAAATTTTTAATCCATAAAAAGACTAATTATTTTTCATTAACCTTCAATATATTTCTCGAGTATAAATTTTTTATGAACTTTTTGATCTGACGAACGCATTATGACATTATTCCAAATAGGCGGCTTATCACGCACTGATCATCCACAGCCCTTTGAACATGCGCATGCGTCACACCCTAACCACTGCCAATAATTCCAATGAACAGCTGATCGAAGCGTGCACAGCGCGTGGAGCTTTTCATATGCCTGACCTCCATGGTCCATCATCCCTAAGTAAATTGAATTATTACAAATGAGGTTTAATTTGTTCAAAGATAAAAGGTCATTTTAATTTTTACTACATCTAAAGTTTATCAGGCGATCTTGTCAACATGCTAAATCCAAGGCAAGGAGACAAATCACTTCTTCATCGGTATGCCATCGGCATCGCACTCGAAATTTGTATTCAATCAATGAAAGTTCAGCTAGTGAATAAAATAAAATCCTATATTATTATCCTTTCTTTTCTAGACACAATCCAATTCGAAGTGAAACACTTAGTTATTGGCATACAAAAATATTTCCAAAATCCCACCCGAAAACCCGAACTAATAATAGCCATGCTAAAAACAAAAGAAACTAAAAACAATCCCATGATATTTTCCGAAACGTTGATAGACAACACTTACCGATTATGTAAAGTGGTTGATCCTAATTATTTTTAAAATCACAGGATAAATATAATCACAAATTGAACGTCTGTATTCTTTCAAATAGAAAACTCTACTGCGGGAAATTCGGTAATCGGGGTTTATTATATAGCTGACACAGGCCATTCGTTGTTCACGTGAACACTATGCAGTAAACAGTACAAATTACGGTCAATGCGTAGACTAAAACAACCAGTGCCATTATAAACACCCGTTCCAAGGAGAGACTGGTTAATCACAAGGCAGACAAAGCGTGAAAAGAGACCTTACAGAGATCCGAAAGGAAAACGGGAAACGTGTATTTGGGTGAGGCACTCTACTTTACGGCAAAACATTTTTAACGTAAGCATAATTTGCATGCACTGGTATTCAGACCCGAACGTAGTATCTTGTTTGTGTCACGCGCATAAAGATAGCTGTCAAGGCCCAAAGATTTCAAAATTAGCTTTCAATTCCACCCCGATTACCGTCCACCCTGTTGAAGCTCTTTTATAAATAACCGCAATTCGTGGGGTATACATGCACATGTCAGCTGATATCTGATTCAACGGTCGTGTCTATATTCGATGATCCAGTCGTATGCCCCGTGTCAATAATGATTAATTAAAGACTGTTTAATTTCGACTACACCGTTTGGAATAAAAGAATGTACAGTCCTTTATGACATCAGGTTTAACGATGTAAAAAAATATTTCTGGAGGTGGTGAAATACCTGTTGAACCATTATGATGCACGTATGTTCATTTCATGAGGATTTGTCATAGATTTGACATAAGCAAAAATGAAATGAAATGGGGTTTAACGTCTTACTGTTCTGTACCGACTGGGCTAATAATGAAGACGGGCATACGCCATACAGTGTGCTATGAGGGAAATTTTGTCCGGGCAGCGGCAGAATGGCCTACTCTTATATCAAATTAAATGGAAAATGGCGAAAACTTGAGAGTGAGAGGAAGGTGGTTAAACGTCACTCGACACAAACTATAGGCGATATCGGGACTAACATATGGTTGAATTTTATTTCAATAATTCGCTGGCGCGTAGGGTCTTTATCAGTGTAAGGACACCGGAGAAAACCCACGAGGGTGTCACGTTGAAGCCGAAAACTTGAGAGGAATTACCACAACTCTCCCGAAGAATGAGAACACAACTAATCCTTCATAATATATATATATCCCTGCAATGGCCGAGAATGTTCATCCAGGTTTTCCGTACGGTTCCCGCTTGTCAGTGATGCAGGGCGGAGGAGAGCCTGACAAGGACCATTGTCTAGTCGTTCGGATGGTACAAAAAACCGAGGTCCCGTGTAGACATTGGCGTGCACGTAAAAGATCCCCTGACAGTTGGAATTCGATATAAGAGTAGGCCGTAGTGCAGCTGTCCGGGCGAAATTTCCCTCATAGTACACTGTATGGCGTATGGCGTATGCCCGTCTTCATCAGCCCAGTTCGCAGCAGAACAGTAGGACGTTAAACTCCATTTCATTTCATTTCATTTTCATATATAAATGAGAAGTGTTTTGGGGTTGTTCAATAAACTAAAGGCTGGGATGGGGGGGATGATGGACGAATGGTTAGAATTTCAGACCTGTGTCTCATCGCGAATTCATGGAACAGTTTGTAAATTCACCTGAATTAATACTGGTTGTTTCTTACTCGCAATGTATGCGCAGTTTGTCTTGTCCAGGGGGGGGGGGGGATGGATGGCCCCAATGGTTAGCACGTGCGTACTGTATCCTAAGGTCTTGTCATTGAATCAACTGGTGTGGTTTCGATTCCCCGGTTGTACGTGACTGACAAGGAGTAGGGTCGCCTGTCCAACCTGTGGGTCCCCCGGTTTTCTCCCACTGCTAAAGACCCCCTACGCGCAAACGAATTATTGAAATAAAATTGATCCATATGTTAGACACGAAATGACCTAGTTTGTGTCGAGTGGACGTTACCCCCCCCCCCCCCTGTCTGTCTGTCTGTCTCTCTCTTTGCCCTCTCTTGTCTCCAATAGCTCTGTAGACTGAAGTTCATCTTCGATAGTTTCCCGATAAACGACATAAACTATTGAACCGCTATGTGGGCAGGTTTCATGGTCAAAAGTAATGTGAATCACTCTCTTTCAACTGTCTAGTTGTTTAACTCGTACGCAGAAGTCCCAAGGTCTGTCATTGAATGGGTTCTTTCCGGGTCCAAAGGTTTCCTCCCACTCTTAAAGATTATTGAAATAAAACTGAACAATAGTTTGTGTCTCGTGGTCATTACCCTCTCCATGTCTTTTTAAACTGGAATCACGTGCTGGCTCGCTAGCCTGGAGGTCGGGTGTTCGATCCCTGCATTGGCCGAGAAATTTCATTCAGATTTTCCGGCGTGGCTCCCTCTTGTCAGTAGTACAGAACGAAGGGGCCTGACAAGGACAGCTGTCTAGTCGTTCGGATGGGACGAAAAACCGAGGTCCCGTGTACACATTGGCGTGCACGTAAAAGATCCCTTGGCAGTTGGAATTCGATATAAGAGTAGGCCGTAGCGTCGCTGCCCGGGCAAAATTCCCCTCATAGCACACTGTATGGCGTATGCCCTTCTTCATTAGCCCAGTTTCGGAGCAGAACAGTAGGACGTTAACCCCATTCCATGTCTCTTTAAACTATCCTCCATTTTGACTGAGGGGATCCAGGAAATATAAAATTTAATGTAACCCATTTTTGGGTATTTTTCCGTGTCTGCGATATCACTAAGTTTCCAAGCAGACGATAAAATGGTACTTCACTTTAACAGGTTGGCCGATTTCCACCCTCCACAGAAGAAATACTATTCTTACACCAACATGGTTATTGATCCGCCTCCAACTCGAAAAGGTGAAAGGCATCGCCAGATTAACCTGCACCGAAATAACACTTTGAATGGAAAAATACACGTCTATTAGTAAGTGCCGAAGATCCACAAAACACCCAAAACAAACCTGGTGACAAATGGGGTTTAACGTCCATCGACACAACTAGTTCATTTCGGGACTAACATGTGGTTTAATTTTATTTCAATAATTCGCTAGCAGTGGGAGGAAACCGGGGGACCCGGAGAAAACCCACGAGGTTGGACAGGCGACCCTATTCTTTGTCACGTACAACCGGGGATTCGAAACCACGCCAGTTGACTCAATGACACCCTTAGGATACAGCACGCACGTGCTAACCATTCGGCCATCCACCCCCACCCCCCTGGACAAGACAAACTGCGCATACATTGCGAGTAAGAAACAACCAGTATTAATTCAGGTGAATTTACAAAAGGGCGAGAATGGCCAGATCAAGCCCAAGTACTAGTGACCGAGAAAAGGGACAAGGACAACTGTAGAAAGTGGAGTGTGTCAATGGTTTGGTTTTGTCTATGGCTATTATGTGGTGAGATAAGATAAGCCACCATACTATATATTCAAGGACAGTGTCTAGATAACACCAATCAATATCGCCATGTGAAAGGTCAGGAAATATGAGATATTACCACAAGGGAGGAGAAAAAGTAAAGTTATCTGACGGGGTTAATTGACACCCGACCCCATTAAAAGCAACAATGACAAGCCCTGGTGCTGGACATTTATTTAGGGGATTTTCTTTCCGGAAAGCGGTGCTACGGTCTACTCTTTATTTTGAATTCCAACCGCCAAGGGTTCTTTTACGTGCACGCCAAAGTTGTCGATTGCCAGGCCCGCCGTCCTACACAACTGACAAGGGGAACCGCGAACACGTGACCACCAGGTTTAGCGAGCCAACGCCTTACTCACTTAGACACCGCGACTTCCATGAATAGACGGAAAGGACACAGTGTGGGCAATATTTTCCTCATAAAACACCCCGGTTCGCATGCCAACCCCATAAGACAGAAAAGTAGGACGTTAAACCCCATTTCATCCATTCCCATTGATCCTCGACTCGATTGTGAGAGAGAGAGAGAAATGGGGTTTAACGTCCACTCGACACAAACTAGGTCATTTCGGGACTAACATATGGTTTAATTTTATTTCAATAATTCGCTTGCGCGTAGGGGTCTTTAGCAGTGGGAGGAAACCGGAAGACCCGGAGAAAACCCACGAGGTTGGACAGGCGACCCTACTCCTTGTCACGTACAACCGGGGATTCGACTCGATTGTAAAATAATTTTTGTTATAAGTATGGACGAGATAATATTCAATATTTAAAGATATGGGAGATTAGATAAAGAGCTGGCATTTCTCACTGTAATGGTTAAAACTAGATAATGTAAAGGGAATATGGTAAAACATTCCAGCCAAATTGCTTCACTTATTTTAAAATCACCATAGCCTCGACTGTCACTGTTACCGCTGTTACGATAATTAACAAAGTCTCGATTATCCATTTTTGAGGTTAATCATCAATGGGTGTTGAATAACAGATTGGATTCAAATCGAATGAAAATTGGTCACATAAGATGACGTCGAGGGTTGATTATTGTCTTTTCATGTTAATAAATGTATAATTAATAATTTAGACAACATTTCAGGCCCAAAGAAAGACCCACAATAGGTAGATTTAGTTCTTGCATAATGTATGTTTAACCATCCAGTACAGAATGGTGAGGGAACTTTGGTTGAGTAGAGATCATTGTGTTTGGTATATTCTGTTTCATATGCGTAGGTTTGAAAGGCTAGTCATACAATATAGATTACGTATCAGGGTGGATTTCCTTTAAATATATTTATAGTCTGTCCACCATGACTACAAGCTAACAACAAATAAACATATTTTATCTATAGATCATGATATTCTAATTATAAAACATGATATACGAACATGTTCAATGTGAGACGATATAGTCAGAGACACCTGCGCCTACACACTCGGTTTTTCTAACTATCCCGAATTCTCGATAACACGCCCCGTCTTCATTAGTCAAGGACGCTAGAGCCCCATTTCATTTCATTTCGTAAACACATTAATCTAGGGTCAGAGTATTTGAGATTCTTTAATGTAAACTGTTATTATTTCTCACTAAATTTATGTAAACGTTTTACACATCAGGGTCCTGTTTCATGAAATTTTAACTAAAGATAAAATCCAAATTTTAGTAGATACTTCAATTTTGATTGGCTAAGCACAACAATCAGTCTAATATTATTCAATCAAATTACTAA